ACATTGCAGAGATCAAAAAAGTGAATTAATTTACTGAAAAAAAAAACCCCAACGTTCATGCTCAGTGATGGAAGTTCACACTGAGCTGCAAAGTGTAACGGCTGATCCTAAATCTGGTTATCCAAGTTTCAGTTGGACTACTTCCATTGGTAATGTTATACAACTGTTGAGAGACTTCACTACAGAGACTTAAATAAAAATATCCACATTTCAAAGAATGAAGATTGATACCACCTCAGCTAATCCTTCACTTATTTCTGTATTCAAAGCAACAAGGCATGCTCTAGTAGAAATGCTGTAGTAGCAGAAAGACGGATCACCTACACCCTCTCCCCGTCTCTTGACTGCACAGGTATTTCACCAAAATTTTCATAACGTAACTGTACATCACTGTAACCTCCAAAGCCTTAAATGCATACAGGAACGACCTGGTCCTCATCCAAGTGGATTTACGTGATGAGGGGAGAGGACAAACAGGGGCTGCAGAGCTCTACCTCAGCCCCCAGCTCTGCAGCCTCCGCACCCACAAAGCTCCCGCTCTCAGGGACCTGCGCGGCACCGAAGACGGAGGTGGGGAAAGGCACCTTGGCTCTCCCTTCAGCAGAAGGGCTCTCCTCTCCCGCTAGACCAGCGGCACCAGTCCAGGCTCTGCCCCTGCCATGGGCTGATGTGCTTTCCAGCATGGAGGGCTCAGGTAGAAGAGTCCAAGCTCTCCCTTCAGAGGCAAGAAGGCGGCAGGGAGAGGTTTCCACTAGGGAAAGGAGCAGATCTAATTACTCATCATGCAGCAGGGGTTGTGAGGGCAGCAACCCCAAGTTCCCCCTTTGCCACTTCTCCTCAAGCTGAGAGCACCAGCAGCCCCCCGAGCAGCCACACAGCTGCCTGCTCCCCCACGGTGCAACGTGTCTACCTTCCAGCACCATCCGTCCTGAGATGATACAGCACCCCGAAAAGAGAAGGGGGAAAAGCCTCACACGATTCAACCAATTATGGGATTACGTCTCCAAGACAGCATTGCATACCTCAGGGGCTTCTGCCGGTTATACCGACGCTGAATTATGGCTAATAAAGAATGCTACCATAGCCACCGTGCCATTTTCTAATGCTACATAGGTCAGAAACACACATCTCATGGATAAAATACTCACCAACAAACACCAGTTGATCTGAAATTTACTGAATGCTGGGAAACCATCTAGTTGGACTATTGCATCCGCACTGATGATGATACATGTGTGCACAGGTTAGTGTAAGCAGACACGGCAACTAGAAAGGAAGATTACTGCAAACAGCAGTTGTTTTCAAAATCAGAAGTTTAGACAAAAGGTAAGAGTATTATTAGATGACATTTGCAAGGAGTTGTTGAAGATGGTAAGAAATTGCTAGAATTTGCTTCTCTTAAATAGGCCAGAGCCAGTGACTTCAGAAACACCCAATATCCACATCCCAAATAGTAACTCCTTGCATTTCTTAGTCAAAAATCTTATGCCATCGGTCGAAAATCATCACTACCTATTAAAGCATTTCTATGTTCACGTGCGATCCGCTGACTAGTCCCTCTCCACAGCTGTAGACAAGTGTTCAGAATATAGAAACAATCACTGTAAATGACAATGTTGTTGATTTTTCGCAGAGTCTAAGAATGGCTGTAGGCACAGCACAGGTCTCGCTACGGCACTGCCACCTTCCTAGCAGGGACTTACTGCAGCTACTCACAGAAAGAAAACAAAAACCAGGACAAATCTAGAATAATCTTCTGCCTACAAAGTGATTCCCTACAGATAAGGCCAAGCTGACTAGGGCGGTAGGGGAACGACCTGAAAACATCAAGGATACCATCCTTTTTGCAGTCCCTCAACAGTATCGGGGTAGAGGGTGGGAGATGTTGTAGTGGGCCCAGGAGTAGCTTTATGAAACATTTCAATCCCAATTGCAACCTCAAACAAGGGTTTGATGGAGGGGTAAGGTTTGAATGCAAAGTGGGAAAAGAATTTTTACGCATGCTCCAAGGACTGCAAGTTCCAATATTAACTGAAGGGAGATGCCTGTGAAATATTTTAGACAAAATAAGAAACTGGGGCAGTCATCACGAGTCCTCTTAGTCAGCTGGGCAAATTTCTATTATAATACTTCCATTGCCAGTACTCCTATATTATATGAAGCAAAGTTAGGGTAGGAAATTCCTCATTGTTTTCCAAACCCAAATGACAAATGAGCACAATATTTTACAAGTGAAAACTGTGGAACTTGATCTCTTCATTCTTTCCTTATTATTTGCCTACTCGAAGTTTTGCAGTAGGCAACATTTAGAAGTTATCTCTAAAGTCAATGCACTCCCAGATTATAATCTTGACTCTCACATCCTAAAGCTCTAAATCTAGAGGTGAGCGGTGGTAGCTCAGATATTGCTCCACAATAATTACTGCCAATAATTTTCTGAAGTCAATAATTCTGCTTTTAGACCAACACAGAAAATTGCCTCCACATCCCTGGTATGAAAACTTTGCCCTATCCAACATGCCTCATCATAAATTATCTGGTAAGGATAAATCTTTTAGAAGCCATGAATGGTGTCACAGGACCAATTCACTAAAACTGCCATAACACACCTGAGAGATAATTGAGATGTCAAGCCTCATCAATATCAACCTACTTAAAGTAAGGACAAGAGGAGAAGGGAAGAATGATAATGTATACCACTGTTGTGTGAAGCTAGTTAATTTATAGCTTCGAAACAGATACGTATCAGTCACCAATCTGAACGTCCTTAAATTTCATCAAAGTCTGAACTTACAAGGAGTCTTAATTCCTTAAAAAGCTTCTTCCCAAAGAAATTGATTGTTTGTTGACAGGGAAGAAGTCTTTTTTCTATTTTTAACTCCCAAGATTTAACATTTTTTTCCAACTCTAACTTAATACACAGGGGGTAAAATAATGAGTTTGGACAGCATACAGGAAACATCAGTGAAAAAAAACTTAAAAAAAAAAAAAAAAAAAATCTCTTCCTGACCAGGCAGAGGAAGCGAAGTACCAGATCTCTCAAGAGCTCCAAGCCTCAGAGGAGGTTTCTGCCAATTTGCAGTGCTATGAATTTGTTCTCTGTGTCATTCTCAGTTACTGGTTGTGTATATCCTCCTAATCAATACACATGCATATACATCCCACATTACTTTCTCATCAAATGTCTTGCATCGCAAATATCACCCACTCGCTTTGAAAGTGGACGATGAACACAATCTCCTTTCCTGTTCCCTGTCTATTCCTTCCTCCCTTTCTCTTTTCCCATTTCCCTCCCCCTCCACCCCTCCTTGTGATATCCCCCTCTCACAAAGCAGCATCTCATTCGCCATCTGCTTCTTGAACCATCTGCTCACTCCTTGCCTTCCTTCTTGCTGGATAACTCCACAGTCTCTCCAGCGTAGCTCCACGGTCTCCCCGTGGCATCACTAAAAGTCTTTTTCCTTTTCCTCTTCTGTTCAAAAATACTAAAGTACAGCGAGCTTTCCACACTAGACCCTTGATGGAGGGGAGGGCACAAAATAAACATCCATGAGTTTAATAATCCTCTGCTTTGACAACTGTAAAATCCTTTCTAAGCTTCATGTTTCACACTGCTCCTCTTCATTTTACCCAAAATGCTATGGCCAAGCTGACCTTCTTTCCTTGATGGGACGTTCTGGCCATTTCATCCCACTTCTTAAATCAACCTCATTAGCCATCTACATCCCACAGGATTTTCAGATTCCCCATCTTCAGGTCCACTGCCCTGAGCAGCTCCCTCTTCTCGCCTGGCACCTGGTGCCATCCTCTGCCAGTTCTGCTCGGTTTGCTTTGATCTCATCCCATCAGCGTTGCTGTGCCTTCTCCTATTCACTCTCTGCCTGGAATGAATCAGCTCTTGAAGCTGATTACTACTCCATTTCCCTCTCGCTCACCCTCTCTTTTCCACTCTGTCAGACTGTCATCTTTTCCACACACAAAACCAGAGAACCCTTCAATTCCCAATAGAGAGGAAAAATATTACATTTAAATACCATCAAACATCCATTTGCAAGTCTGTGCCTTTCTTCTTTCTTAAACACCTGGCTTTCTATTATTTGTTTTATTTCCCTGCTTTGCTTTCTTTCACAATCCTTCACCTCCCAGTACCTGCATTATACATTTCTTCATACTAAATCATTTCCTGTTCATCCCCTTGGTTTATGCCTTTTTTCTGTATTTTTCAGTGAACATGGCAGGTTACTACCAGATGTTGTTCTGTCTGAGGACAGCCTACCTCATTCCGGGTGATAAACAAATAACATAGCAATTAAAATTCAGGAAGGCAAAAATCAGAGAGATGGCACTGACTTCCCCCCGCCCCTTCCCCTCTCTCATCAGCTACTGACATTTGGAAAATTTCAACCAACTCTTAATAAACAACAAAAATTTGTCCCAGTTTCCTAAGAAAGTGAGGCTTGTATGATCACAACCTGCCAGTCAGTTCCATCCTAACCACTTTTGTACCCGTAAGTCAACATCAAACAAATAATACAGAGGCAGTAAGGACCCAGATGTTTTTAGTGGTGAAGCAAAGAGAAACCCAAATTAGCATCTTCATTAACTGTGAGATGCAGCAGCCAGCTGGCCTGACCAGCAGAGTAGTTTGGGCCACCCATCAGTACGTACCTGGCTTGGGAGCTGCCAAAGCACCTCAGGCATGTGCCCAGCGCATGGTAAAGGCAGGGAGCTGGAAGCACTGAGGGGAGTATGGTAGAAGAAATAGCTGTAAAAGGCAGCCTCCCTCACTTCCCCTGCTTACAGCAGAAGGATCAGGGGTTTAGTCTTGAGTTATTTCACCCAACACCAAACCATTGCCTATTTCATCTTTTGTAGATCCTTTTCCAGGATCAGAAGATCATTGAGGAGAACACAACTCTGATACACTAATATCTATAACACCGATGAAGCATTTCCCTTTTTGTTTCCTCCGACCAGAGAAGGAACGATATGCTCTCTACCTTTTCTGGATTATACTGGGATTTGCAGTCACCAGCTGAGTTTTCGATCCGACGTCCTTGCTGTATTCACTGGATAGAGGAGGAAGGTTGCACCTGTGCACAGAAAGACAGTCAAGATTTTAAATGACATTCAGGATTGACTCAACCTCAGTCTTTTCTAGTCTGCAAGTTGCCAGGTGTTGGGGTTTGGGTTGTGTTTTTTTTTTTAAAAAACAAACAAACAAAAGCACAAGCTCTCAGATCTAAAAGTGCTGTATAAATACTAGACCAAGCTACAAAGGTTTCCTACTTGTACCTACGAGCACAATAGGACGTTTTTGTACCAGATTGTGGGAAGATGTAGAAATAAAACCTCTTGCAGAGATGATCTTATGTAAATACAAGGGAAAAACAAAGACACAGACTTGGCATTTCCAACAGGCTGAAAGGCTGTGGAATAGGATGTTATTATCTGTAGCAAAGACTTTTTTTTTTCCCCAAAAAACTCTTTTAAAGTTCTGTTTTTCACTCTGTTCTGTCTTGTTTACCTGTATCAGGCTCCAGACTGTCACCACTCTGTGGTATTACAAGCACTACATGACTCGCAAACATTGGGCGACTGGCATTTTTAATATTACACCACAGGGTATCTTCAGCATACAGAATTTACCACGAAAACACAGCGCAAAATTTTAAGTGGCTATTTAAATATGTGTGTCTCAGTTCTGCTCACAGTCTCATTCTGCTGAGCAGGGTGATAACATAAATAAGAGAAAGTGACTGAGCAAATTTACTTTGGAAAGCAGAGAGCCAAGACTCCAAAAAACACAAGCAGAGAGAGACTTCCAGACAATGAACAGTCCTAAATGCTACGTAGTAAAAACCTAGGAGAAGGAAGGTGGTGCAGTAGATAAAGATGAAAATATGTTCCAACAGTATCCAAGCCCCTGCACTGCTCCAGAAATTACAATCAGAAGAAATCTTGAGTAGATTATTAGAATATTGTTTTGACACCCATTTTCGGTATAATTTCTATGTATTGAGTATACACCAAGAACGGGTGTCAAAACAATATCCTACATTTCAAATTTGTCCAATTTTTAAAAACAAAGATAAGAAGAATATTTTTAATGCTTAAAGGGCAAAAATGAAACCAAGATTCTCAGAGAAAAGTAGAATTTGGAGTTTTTTCAGAAAAAGACTTTCATTTTTTTGTGTTGGGTTTGGAGGTTCTGTCGGGGTTTTTTGTTTGTTTGTTTGTAAAGTTTCATGCTCTACCATAACCAAATTTGCCCTCCAATTTTTAAGTTCAACAATTAAATCAAGACATCCCTGTTTGCACATGCTTGTTTTGTTGTTTTTCTGCAGCACACTGGAAAAACACAGCACAGAGATGGCGCGCACAAGGTTGGGAAAGGCGAGGGGCATGCTCGGGCACCAGCTCCTGCCTCTTCCTGCTCCCAGCAGGAGGGTGTGCTGAGCAAACGCGGACCCTCAAGAAGAGGGTCGAGCAGCCCGTGATTACTTTCAGCTCTGCAGACAACCACCCCCACAGAGGACGAGGCCCTGGCACTGGAAGAGGGCAGGCAGTGGCACAGACAATTGTCGTTTCATGTTCATGACTTCTCCTCCTGGTACCAGGGAGACACGGGTTTCTTGGCTGCAGGTCTTACACCTGTGAAGATCTGTGTCATTTTTCTCACCATCTTCTCCGTTAAACTCTCTGTAGCACTCCACTTCTGCAGGCATCCTCCAGGCATCTGGTGTCAGTCATGAAACCCTTGAGTCCAACAACAACAAGTTGCTTACCCGATTTCTTTGCTTAATTCAGAGGCCCATTTTTTAGACTAGTGAGAGGTGGGGAAAGTGAGCTACAGTTCAGTTTATACAGCAGTTTCCAGGGGCTGCTACAGAAACCATTGGGCTCTTGTACTACAGGTCACCATACTCTTCCACCACACTGGGAAAATCAGTCTCGTCACAAGGAAAGCCCTTGTTTCCACAGCAGTTGCTGCCTCCGTTAGCATTCCTCTGACCTCTGCAGCGTTCAGAGAAGTGATCCAGGCATTTGCAACAGCAGAGTGCCGCAAGTGAGGCTACACAAATTCCTGGCCGCACCCCCACGTGTTACAGTTTTGTGTAATGTCAGTGCCTGGAGAGGGCACTAGTGTGCACATGGTATACTCCCTGCAATGTCTGCCAATGCAAAACATCCCACATTCCCTAAGAAAAAAAAACACAGTGGTGCAAATTTGCATGTATTTGCATACAAATACCAGCTCTCAAAACCATATTCCTAAATTCACATAATCAGGAAATGCCAAGGAGAAGAACAGCAAAGTCCCACCTGTACGGAACATAAATGAATTCAACCACATTCACGAAGAAAAATAAAATTTCTGGGAACAATTTCTCCTTTTCATGACTACATTTGTTAAGAAGTGCACAATGCATTGAGTTCTCAGGAAACAGCTTCTAGTTTGGTCTGCCACAATTTAAGCGAAGCTAGAAATCTTTAAAAGAAGGCAGAAAAGAGGAACCAAATAAGAGGTTTCAGAAAATGCAATCATTGAGAAGAAAAAAAAGAAGAAAAAATTAGAAGCATATAAAAAAAAAAAAAAAAAAAAAAAAAACGAAAAAATTAGAAGCATACGGGAAATTTAATTCCCAGACATAATGACAAAACCTTAGAAAAAAAAGTATCAAGAATGTTTTACATTAAAATAAATAAATAGTAAGACTGCAATAGGTTGCTTTCTGCACATGCACTGGGTAGGATACAGATTAATACTATTTGGAGAGGTTGTAAAAACCCTCTCAGTACCAGTTTTCAACAGCAGGTCAAAGAAATATTTGTGAAGCAAGATACGTAGGTGATTTGCCTCAGAGCAGAGAGATGACATAAATGACCTCTGGCAGACTACAGTTTAATGCTCTCCAATTTCAATAAACAGAAACTCAAAGGGCAAGCTTTTAAGAAGCCATTTTTGGTTGAAGTTTGATTTAAAAAAGCACTCTCCCTAGTTTTTATCATCTTAACATCTCAATAATGAAATTTCTTTCACAAGCCAGTTCCAGATGCATTATTTAAACACGTCTAATTCCTTTCATCAGTAAATCTCATTCCCAGCTTGTTCGGCATGAAATAGTAAGAAATGGCCTGGGTATCCAGGGGAAACGCAGTAAGAAATCAGTTGGTTGACAGAAACTTCCTGGCCTTTCAGATCGTTTTCTTGAACAGGTCAGTAGAGTGCCGAGTGTTGTGCAGGTGAAGAACACACCTAGAAACAAGCCTAAGAAAGGTCTTTTTAATTATCTTACTCTTGGTCCTGGTACTGAGGAGTAAGTACATGAATATGCAGGAAAGAAGTAAGTATCAGGAGAGCGTTTTGGGCCAGCATTTTTGACGCGAGCCTAACCAGAAGACCCAGCCTTTGCGGGGAGGGGAACCATCAACAGGCACAGCAGTTCATGTGTGCCTTTCTCACATCTGAGACCTTTCAACTCAACAGGGAGAAACAGCTACAGGGGTAAAATGAGAGGGATCCTTCAACCCTCACTGGGCAGAAATTGCTCTTCTGGGTTTGGCCCAGACAGAACTCTCTGTCCTGCAGGTGCAGAGAATCCAGGCAACTTGGCTGATGCATGTGCATTTGGTAGATGCTATGTGACTACCTAGCTATTTTAGAATGTTATATACACACTTATACACTAGGGACTAACATGGATTTAATATGTAATTGCAAACATTAATTTTTATTCCTTTGTGGCACCTTGGCCAACGTCAAGACAATAACTGCACAAGGCAGCTGAAAGCCATGTTCCTCTGGACTTGTCTGCAAACCCCAAAGTGCCACCATATTGAACCTCCCCAGTGCCACCTGGGCTGGTATGGCTAGGTGGCACGGCACAGAGTGATTAAAGAGGACAGCTTGGCCTCCCCAAACCAGGAGAGCCACTGGTCAACCTGAAATAGGGACAGGTTGCTTCTAGTTCAAACAGCTTGGAGAACTCCCTGCAATCCCCTGCTGTTTTACAGAGAGAAACCCTTTCTCTGAGAGACATACAAACCACAGCAGAGCCATGGAAAGTGGTTGGGGGAAAGGGAGAATTGTGATATGTAGAAATATTTCTTCAAAATCTAATGCCAAGAAAATGTGTCTCTTCAGTCAAAATACAGATAAAAAACATTGCTTAGGGTTTAGTACCCCACACTTCTCTCTTAAAATAAGTGTTAGCAGGAAGGGCAAGGGCAAATTAAATTTTTTCCTTAGAAATAAGGATTACAAACTTGAAAACCAGCCAGATATCAGAAGAACAACCTGTTATAAACATACTACCTAAAGATGTAGACCATATGCCATGCACCTTTTTTTCATTGCAGATGCAGTGTACTGTGCCTTAGGGGCTGAAAACTGCTGGTCTTTTAATCTCTATGTTGGTACAACTGTGTTTGTAGAAGATGCTCAGCAATGAGATGAGTTTAAACTCATTAATTAACCTTAGTGATTACAATATATCAGAGAAGATGGCTGCAGTCATATGACAGAGGTTATGGAAATACACTTAAGTGAAATAAAAAGCCGTGTGAATGGAAGAAAAGAACAAGGGCAAAACCAGGCATGATGTTTCACACTTCAGAAATACTTTACAGATATTACACAAATTTCTTTAAAAAAAAAAAATTAAAGATGTTATGCAAGTCCCTATTGTGCTCTCTCTCTCTCATCTCTCAGATTACAGAAATAAGACTTACAAAAGATCAACTAAACCCTGTCTTCCACCTGCTATAAAAATATTTTCTCCCAGTGGTGTGTTAGCTTCTAACCCAAAAGACCTGGAACATTTTCCATAAATATGGCTGCCCATCACTAATACAATACTGCCTGCAGGCAGCTACTAGGATTTTTGCAGGATTTTCCCTATCACTTAATTCCAATTCAAAATAAGTTCTGTACAGATAATGGTTGCTTTACCCTCCCTGGAGAGAAAAGGATTTTTCTGATCGAGATACAACAACTGCTGTTTTTTTTAAAAAAGTTTCTATTGTTTTTGTAACTGATTGCTCCTACAGCATTTCAATTTCCCATTGCATCTAGATAATATTACCATGGTATATACCCTGCAGTTTCTTATATTTAGTCTGTGGAACACCTAAGGAGTTTTGCATTAACGGCAATCGGCACACTGCCTCTCTCCCCTGTGCCTTACATCTTCTCTTCTGTGAATGCTCTAAGTATACGTTTCCTTCTGCCTTAGTTTGTTGTATTTCTTTGCTTTAACATTGAAGGCATTTTTGGTCTTTGAGATGCAAACCAGGAATTACGTACAGTAATACTCTTTGGTTTGCAGCAAATTTGTATGGCTTTATAATAAGGAGACTTGTTAAAGTGAGTGCTCATTATGCATCCATCTCAAAACCCAAAGAAACTCCATTTCTCATTTTATTGGGAGCATTCCTTTAGTTTCTCCCCCACAATGTTTTTCTTGTTCTTGTTTAAGAGGGAGGAACTAATTTCTGTCTTTCTTCCTTAAAGAATGCAGACCTAGAAAGTGCCAAATTCAACCATGAAAGCGGTAGCTGGTTCAACATCCCCCCTGACAGGTTCTTATAACTTCAGGAAAGCTGGAGGGAATGGAAATGTGAGGGAATGGACATCCCAAAAAACCCACATCAAGAAAAGAGGTTTGGCCTTTCCTCAGGCAGTCAGCCAGAAATCAGTCTTGAGGGAAGAAAAAACACAGGAACGTTTTTAGCTTGGCCCAACTTACTTCTCAAGCCTTGCCCCATAAATCAGTACCTACTCATCTTGAGTTCAGTGGGTCGCATACGACGGCGTTTAGAGCTGCAGAGGACAGAGCACATGGCAGGATGCGACCCTGCCTAACACTGCATAATTAAAGAGGAGGGCAGCTCTTCAGCACCTCTCCATGAGGCTGCACAGTCTGTCACAGCCTTAACCCATCCATCTGCAGCTTGCCCCCACACCGCGCACACGTCTGCAGAAGCCAGTCAAAACTCTCTTTTTTGCCTCTCCTCACACTTCTGCCCGAATCGCTTGCGTAAAGCATCCTGCAAATGGGTGGGGGGAAACAAGGCAAATTTATAATCGATTAATCGCAACTGAATAGCTTTGAAAAGTCCAAGACTTAGCAGGGGGAAGGGGAGACAATGCGTCATTGAGGGTTCTCTCTTACCGCATGACAAAATCTGCTTGATCTATTTGTTTGCCGCAGCCGCTCTTTTTCAGGATCCCACCGTTTCCCACCACGGAGCATTTCTTCAGTGGCAGCTGGAAGGGAGTAGCCTAGCAACACAAAACAAGGACCCGTTTTACAGAGGAGAACACACACATCTTTGTAGCAGCCGCTCCTGGAGAACCCGGGGAGCTGGCAGGGCTCAAAGTGACGAAAGAAAAGGGAGAATTAGGAGCTGGGGAGGGAGGGGGAGTACAGAAATCAGCTGGTAAGTAGACAGACATAGGACAGTTCTCATCCCCACTCCCCAAACCAGGACGCAACAAATGAGGTACAGAAGACGATAGCAACATCTGCAAAACCAAAATGGCCTAAAGTCCTGATGCAGATACTGACTAAGCCAGGCAGTCCGGTCAGAACGAGCCTTCTAGCCAAGCTGCAAGGACACAGGGGAACTAATACAACCAGGAAAAAAAAAAAAAAAAAAAAAAAAAAAAAAATCCATGAAAGTGACCTTCCTGAGCTGATATACAAAAGACAGCTCTGGGGAAGCAAGGCAGGAAGGAACAGGGAACGAGGCGATGACAGCAGGGCAGTTGGAATCAGAGGTCACCCTTGCTCCCTCCACAGTTGTGTCACTGGGACGGGTCACTCCGAAGCTTTAGGCAGAGACATTTAGAGCTTGACAGCAGCTCCTTAAACACTCAGCTGCCCAGACAGAGCATAAATTAAAATTAGAAATGGACCGTTTTAACTAAGCAGCTCTTGTAGCAGCTTAGCAGGGCATTAAAGTGCAAGGTCAAATTGTCATGCTATCTTACGCATCAAACACAGTCATAATTCAGATCCATATCGTCATCTCAATTCCAGAGGATCTCAAAACTACGAGTGGGACATCGTCCCCTCAGCCCCGAGTCATTCACCTTTAGGGAGGTCGGGACAGCCATTTAAACAGCACACAGTGCACCAGTGCAGCCCAGCATATAAAAGAAAAAGGTGGTGAAAACACATGTGAATTTAAAGCCGTGTGATTTAGTTACAGAATGGATTTTGTCTACACTACAAGAGTTAATATTCTCCCACTGCAAAAAAAAATGTGCAGAGATTTTTTTATTAATCAGACCTGTCAAAACCTGACTTTGCAGTAGAGCCAGAATTTACGGCACAGGCCTCCGAGAATGCAGATGCCACGGCGACAGGATGCGGCATCGCAAAGCTCTGCTCCGGGAGGGCAAGGTAGAACGGTGGCAGCACTTGTCCTCACCGACACGTACGGAGCTACGTCTAACATTGCATCATGTATTCACCAGGCAATACGACAGTGTACATGGTCCAGAAAACAGACCCAGCATTACAGCAGAGACTCTGAATTTGTTAGTACTTATTTCTGATGTCTCCCTTCTTTTCTTCCGTAGATTTAGTTGTTTTATCTTCTTTTCTCAGAAAACTAGATTGCATTCAGCTAGTATAAAGCCACAACCTGCTTTCTAATGAAAAACATTAAAGCATTTTGCTTATCTTAACTCTGGATTAAGATATGCTAAAACAGAAAAATAAATTTTAGTTTCCTGAGGCCCAGCCACTGCTAAGAACCCAGTGATAGCATGGCAGAGCAATACTAAGTACGCAGCTACATTCTTGTCCTGCATCTGCCCTCTCAAGAACACTTTTTAATTTACAGAGTTATTGAACTAGGAGCATATCTTGATATTCAAAGGACATCTCATCTCTGGGGTGACCCTGACCAAATGAGAGCTCACATGCTCAGTAAAGCGAGGGGGAGGGGAATCAGAGGAAATGTAGAAGAGATGTTTTATAAAGATACATCAAAGCTCCTTCCAAGAGAGCCAGTCATACAAAGGCAAGACTGTGACAAACCACAGACAAAGGCAGCAGCCATTAACTCTTGTTTTTAAGAGTTGTAGACACTCTGTCACATAAATTATGTGGCTTTAGTACATGTTGAGTGGCTTTAGACCCCCAAAATAAACATTTAGGAGTTACTAAATGCTTCGGAATTCTGAGTTGCAAACAGTCTTTGATATTGCTTGAGATGACTTGCTGTCCTTCAAGGGAGGCTTATATCCTGTTACGCTCCAAGATGATAATATTATTTGTCATTTGCATACGTACTTTTGTTTCCAAAGGCAGGTGAAGCTTTGAAACTCTTGTCCATCAGAGAGTCCAAGAAACAAAAGACCAAGATTAGGGCTACCAGGGTGATTTGAGGGAGCCAAAGGAAAGTAGAAGGGGCAGATAACATCACCATGGTGGCTGTCCCTCTGTCTAACCTGCGAAGAAATCCACTCGCTCTATGGACATAGGAGGAAAACCAGGCTGAACACCGTTCTCTCTGAAAAGCCACCATTCCCACAAGAGCCCACAGCAGCTCTTGCCTCCCCCAGCAAAGTACTGAAAATTCAGGACATGCCACAGACATGGGACAGCGTCTACACGCCACCATTTAGCTTAAAATGTTCAACGGATGCACCTTCCAGAAGACCATACTTACAAACTTTCTACAGACATTATGCAAAAGACCGTTGCAGTACCATAACAGGGTGAGGTGGGGTGGGTTATAAAGGCCTAAGGATTAAGTGTCCCTGCTGCTTGGTGGGATTTCAGCTGCTTTGAGCTTAATGAAGAATAATTGCTTAGGATGACCTGGGAGAAACCTGCATTTGTTATCTTGCACATGACTTTTCTTCAGACATTTATATCACAGATCTCTACTACTGCTGAGACTACAGGGACAGTTCAGGAACCATGCCCTGAGCCTCTTTGTCCAAACAAACTGGTCATACACAAATCACACAACTCTTAAATTCAGGTGTTGCCCATAAGCGACTATGAAACATACAGCTCCTTTTTCTCTCCACAAAAGGCATTTCTCTCTTCCCTCTTTCAAAGGAACAGGCTCCTGGGCTTTGAAATTGTTAGGAAATCAGCACCCTGTAACCTAGTGAGCAGCAGCATACCCAACCCACTCCTGCAGAACGCTACTGGGACGGCACCCTTCCCTCCCCTCCACATCCAAAGGATGCTCACGGGACAGATAGCATGGACTAAGGGACTTAGAGGCTCTTCAAACAGAAAATGCTGTGGGCCTCATTCTGTGACTTCCCACAAGAATCCAGCTCATTCCTTCCTTTGGGCTGCCCAAAATAGGAGGTGCAAACAGCTTAAGCAAGATTGCAACACAATTAACCAAAAGGTAGCTCCAGCCCTAACACGCAGCAGCATTACGCAGCTTGTTACTAGCTTTCCACACCACTACTGCGCTTTCAAGATGTTTCCCTGCATCCTCCAGCTGTTCCTACTGCTAGCTTATCAGGGGTACGCACTGTGGATTTAAGGTCGAATTTAATAATTAATTAATTATCAACAGCTGGAGGTTTTTTTTTTTCCTCTAAGGGTAAAACAACATCAAAGATGGACTGCAATAATTATTTGTTTCCTCGTGCTCAGAGATCTTATGCTATCTTCATGGTGTGGGTGATCTGCCTTCAGATGTTTTGCATTTTATGTTGGGGCTGCAGGGTTAGAAGAATGCTACAACTCGCTCCAGAATTAAACTGGTTTTACTTTTTTTGTAAAACAGACTTGGGCATTACTTGTAATTTCAGTAAGAGGCAGTTTTCAGTCGAGAGTGTTCTATTTTTAAGGCGATGGTGCTATTTGGAGATAATACTAGAGAGTAAACCCAAGTTTGCTCCTAGGTTTCTATTAGTAGAAAAATATGTTTCACAGGACTTAGAAAAACCTTCTCATGCTTTCCTTCTACGGCGCAAGCCTTTGCTAGGCAAACTGTCAGTTCATAGCTAACAGCACGTAAGCTCTCACATTGTGGGGACCCAGCTGTCATCTATGCTAAATGCTCACAAAAAACAGTTGTTTTTCCCCTCAGAACTGTAAGCTAGACTGAAAAATGCTGGCTCTGGACTATAAAGTTGTAACAAAAGCGAATATTAGCTTCCTGAAACTCTGTTATTTTCATTGTCACCACATTTGTTGTTTTCTTCATTCATAAAATTTTCATGAACAGCCGGAGTCTTGTGGGTGGACCAGAAAAACACAGCGCAGCATCAGTTCATCTACTGTTACAGAGAAAGCATGACAATAAATGACCAACTCGCCTCTATTTTTAAGCAATCAGTACCACAGGATTTGCAAATACTGTTAACTAAAACCACCTTGCATATTGGAAATAAGTGGGATGAATTCCCTTTGAAAGTAAGTTTCAAATCAGTTTTAAAAGGATTTCATAAGATGGTTTTTAAACAGCATCTCCAAACAAAACCCAAGATGGAAGGGCCCCATTGTCTCATTTAATACAACGAAACTCCACTGATAATCAATGAAGATGTCCTAGTTCATATTCATGTAAATGAAAGAAGAACCTGCACATCCCCCTGGTGAATTCAGTGGCAAATAAGCACAAAAAGCAATAGATTAAGGACTCCCAACTGAATATGGGACTAATTTAACAAAGCAGCTATCCAGCAATTCACTGATTACTTTCATCATTCATCTAAGTAGAAATAAATCATTGTCATCAGTTAAAAGAACATTACACAGTGCTAACAAAATACAATTTATTTTAGATAATGCTACTCTAATTCACTCTGATTTCATTGTGAGGTTCTTAATGCATTAATTTTTGCCCACTCCCTGCCAAAGACTTTAATCAGCAACCAAGTTCTTACCGGGTAAACAGGAAAAATTACAGTATTCAGCCTCTGATTCAATGCTGAAGTTGTCAAAAACATTGAAATCACTGAGAACATAATTTAGAATAAAATGGGGCTTTAAATAAGTATTTTGAATTTGCAAGAGATGCTGTGATTTTACTGTCCCTTTTGAGAAGGCAGCATCCTGACAAGAAGGGCGTTGTTCTCCTGATTTTCCTAAGGAGACAGCAAAACCCCAAGAGTTAACAAGACGCCAAATTCAGCTCTTAACAAAACATTTTCCTGCACAGAGGCAGGGAGCAGCTGGCATTTTAAAGGAAAACTCTCTGTGTCTTGGCCACAGGTAATATGGTGCTGGTTTTTACACTGTCAGACATGGCAGGGCGGCAAACACTCCTTCTTCATTGTTTACAAATCAT